TTGTGTCCGATTATTCGTATAGCCGAAGTTGAAATGTTCATGTAGTTGTTGTCCAGGACTGTCTGGTGTGAGAATATGATCCCCATGCCCCATTCCTACATATTGTTGCACTACTAACACTGAAACAATTGCTGCATTATCTGATGATGCCAATAGATCTCCAATTGCACCTAGCTCCGGGCACTCACTCCAATCAGTAAGTCCTGCTGTCAACGGCGATATGGTGCCTTGTCCTCTGCCAACTATGAACAGGTCATGTGATTGATCTATAGTCCTTATTGCTGCTACTGTCTCTTCTCCGTGATTCACTACTCTTTCAATGTATACAACTGAATCATCATTAGCTGTTCTTAACCTGAACGCGCTGACATAGTCCTCGTCTAGCTGTTTTTCTTTGTCGTCATCTGTTACTATTGTTAGTACATTTGGATCATTCATATTACTTCTTCTTGAACCTGATCTTGCCTCTTCAAGTGCAGATTGTCCAGGGAGGAATCTCATGACGGTGAGGTTGATCCCGGGATGTTCCCTCATTCTCAATCCGTAGGACAATGCTTCACGATCATCCGGTCCACCAAAGAATAGTACAGCCACATGGTGAGAAACTTGATTTGCTGCTAACCTTGTGGAACCACTTAGTCCTCTGTCGACAAGTATCCCAACAGAACAAGGTGCATTTGCTAATACATTTTGGTTTATCGTTCGAAAATTTGGATTAGTGATTTCCATTCCACCATCAACTGTTTGCTGCTTGTGAAAAGGAATGATTAGAAACGCCACTCGTTTGTCCTCAGCCACGGTGCAAATGTCTTCGTGCATGGTGGAGTAAGGGGAGATGGCAGTAAGGGGTTGCACGGAGACACTTCCAACATGTTGCTCAAAGTTCTCGAATGCATTGATAATATGATCCGATTGAGCTTGAGTTCTGTTAAGCGCTGGCCTGCCAGATTTTCGTGTATTATGGACGATTAGCATGGCAGACGAGCGTCCAGTGAGCTCAACAAGGTGGAGGGCATATATACATATTGGAGATTTCTTAGTAGGACAAGATGCTTCAAGAAGATTGATGATTGTTGGAACATTTCTAGGTGTATGGATGCAAGCCAGTACCCTGAATTCGCTATCTGGTTTTGTACTTTGAACTGTTCTTCTTTTATATGGCGCAAACTTTCTTGCTGGCTTGTAAATCAGCGTCACGAATGGGATGATAATTGCAGTCATAAGCACAGCTGCCACAACCATAATTGCAAAAGATTTGTCATCAAGAACCTTTTGGTCTTTACCAACATTGATCACAATCATCTCAATGAGTCCTTTGGCATTCATGAGGAGACCAAGAGTAATGCCTTCATGGATTGGTATTCTGTAATACAGTGTTACAAGGACTGTTCCAGCAACCTTTCCAACACAAGCTAAGACTATGACCAGAGCTAATATGGCCCATGAACCAACTCCATCAATGGCGTTAATCTCTGTCTTGAGACCACTAATGACAAAGAAAAGAGGCAACAAAATCCCCGAAACAAAGTCCTCTAACTTTTCGATAAGTGTAAGGCCAAGAGGACCATTAGGAATAACCAAACCAAACATAAAAGCCCCGAAAATAGAATGCATTCCAATAGCATCTGTTATAAATCCACATATCATGACTCCTGAGAGAATGATACATATAGAGAACTCACTTATGGATTCGCCTTCTGGAGTTCGCTTTATCATCCATCCAACTAAAGGCCTGATAATTATAACACAGAAAACAACAAACGCTGCTGTGGAAAGAAGTACCCAAACAGAAGTCAAAGCCATAGTTTTGTTCTCAGAAAAGGCAATGGCAAACGCCAAGAGAATCCACGCGAAAATATCATTTATAAGAGCAGCCGACATGGCTATCCTACCAATTTCACTGTTAATAAGTTTCAGCTCTGCAAGAATTCGTGCAAGAACAGGGAATGCAGTAACAGAAAGTGCAACACCAAGGAAGAGCACGAAAGTCCCATGTTTAGTCTCTTGTGTACTTTTATGCAACATGAAGGAAAATGAAACCCCTATAAGAAATGGCACTACCATCCCTGCTAGAGCTATAGGTATCGCCTTTTTCCCTGTTCTTCGGATAACAGCAATGTCCATTTCTACTCCAACCAGAAAAATAAAGTAATGAAGGCCTATATTTGCCATTGTCTCAAGCACCATCACACTTCGTAGAGGAAACACTGTATCAGTAAAACTTTTACTTCTTCCTAATACCGATGGCCCCAAAATCACACCACCCTGTTAACATTGAACATAACATTAGTCTATTTAATCAAATAAATATAACAATCAGGGGCGGTTCAATAGAATTAGTGGCCTAAAACCAATATTTAAGCCGCCCATCATAATAACAATCTACTAACATTCACATAAAA